TATGTATTACTATAAATTTATTATAATATGGATTGATATACCAATCTATCAAATTACCAAAACATTTTATTATATTAAATGATCAGCATTAATTGTATATATATTATTATTAGAATTAATACATGTAAAATAATGAAGTAATGATTTATTATTAAAATATTTATAAAAATGAAGGACACAAATGAGATGGAAGAGGCAGGAAAAAGTAAAAAAAATATAACATTGTTTTTACAGTAGATACATGAAATTTTATTTCATTATATTATGTTATATATTTGTATATCTATGCAATATTGTATTTATAATATAAATTATTACAATTATCTTTGGAAAAATTATTTAATATAATAAATATTGATTATAAAATGTATAATATAGTACATATATATACATAAAGATTGAAAAATTGAAAACGAATATAATTTTTGAAATATAATTTTGGAATAGATTTTAATAATTTTTCATATAAAATATTTTGAATCATATATTATACAATTTAAATAAAAATATTTTATATATTCATCAAATTTGAATATGTAATAATTAAATATTTGTAATTATGAATTAAATTATAATAAAATATAGTTAATTATATACACAATAATTAATATACAACAGAACTGAGAATATTATACATTTAATATGAAATATAATATAATATAAAAATATATAATATACAAATTGCTTATAGTTCAATATTTTAGGATTTATTTTAGGATTTATATTAGGATTTTAACATGTTTCGTTCATTGGACATTGGCAACTTCCAGCTGTAGTAATTTGAATAAGTCCATATTTTCCACTCCACATCCAATATTCATCTTCTTTAAATATTTTTTCCGCTACACCAGGTAGTAAACCAACACAAACATCAGATTTTACTGTTCTTATAGCTAAGATAGGTGTTGGTTCAAATCCTCTTAATGCTTTTTTAAATGTTGTTGTATATTCCCAATTAATATCATCTACTAATTTTCTATAATTTAAGTCACCTTTAAATATTACTAATTTAGCTTCTGACAATTTTGCATGTAATTTTGGATCATGTTCTTTCATTCCTAAAAGATCATAAGGACCTGTCCAATACGGTTCAATCTGAAAAGTTAACATTGTATAATTATTTGAAGTTACAAAAAAAAAAAAGAATTAAATGGAACTTATTTATTGAAAATTACCTCAATTGTCCATATATTATTATTCAAATAGGTTTCTATCAAAATAGCAAATTTTTTTAAACATTCATTTGTTGCATTTTTCATATATTCTATAGTCCAGTGAATGTCATTTATTGTTGCATCACTAATATACCACGGATAAAATTTTGGGTACAATCTTACTTTATCAGCAAATTTGATTGCAATTAAGAATGCAGCTAAGCAAAAATCAGTAAAAAGTTCATATCCTGCATTGTCAAGTATTATATCTACAATATTTATATCATTTTTCTCTGGTTTTCTCAATAAATTCCAAACAAATTCTGAATTATTTACAAGAATATCTTCATCTAATAATTTTAATATTTGTATAGGATGAGTAGCATGACCAATATCTGCTCCCGCACTTAAAGATAGATCACATCTGTAAGGAATATATTTTAATAAATTTTATGTTAATATCATATAAAAAATAAAAATTAGAAAATATAATGAAAATAAAACATACTGGTTACCCCAAAGATCAAATTTAATAAATTTCATAAATTCTTCTTTAGTTTCCATTATTGATAGTTTTTTTTTATTATGTATAACATCTATAACATAACTACAAAGTATTTCTATGCTAGTCAAGGAATTTGTAAATGCATTTTGTTTTGATTGTTCAAAAGGATCATAAGTTTTTATGTATTTCCTAAAATTAAAAAATAACTCATATTTGTGTTGTATATTGTTAGTTATATAATTATTTCCAATCTTACATGAGAACAAGTTCTTGTGCAAGAATCCGATACATGTAGCATTCACAATACAGCCAAAGAGTATTAAACCATAATGGTGTTTCTCCTTCTATTTCAGTTCTCTTTATTAAATATTTATTCCATTCTTCTGCATCATTATTTGATTTATTAGATGCCAATCGCATAGGTTTTAAAGTTTTATTTGTTGCTATTTCATTTTTTAATTTACTAATAAATCCTATCATTTGTTTAATTTCTTCTTTAGCATTCTAAATAATGTAAGATATCTATATATTAAATATAAAATTAATAGAATATATTAAACATATAAAATATAAATGTTATTTTACTTCTCCATATTTTTCAATAATATTTTCCTTGTTACGACTGAAAGTATCAATTATTTTGGTTAAAATTACTGGTAATCTGTCTTTAAGTGTTACATAAGCAAAACTCCTATAAAAAAATGTAAAAGTTAGTAAACAATTATACATCAATTTTATAATATATTTATATTAATTATATTAAATATATTAATAATATATTAAAATTACAGTGATTTAAGTATTCATGATACTTTTTCTTGATTATATTTCATAGCAAATTAAATATATTAAGTATATATATATATATTTATATAAAGAGAATAAGATATATTTAATTTTTATATGTATAATTTATTCCTAGGTTAAATAGAAAACGAATTTTATTTACCGTTTATAAATGCCTGCTAAACGTACTCCAAAAGGTGTTACAATATCTTGTAAATCCCGAATTTCTACGGAATTTGATCTTTGATTCATGATCTCACTATTCGAATTTAGCTATTATTGCTAGAATAGATCAAAATCAAGTATAGATACAGTGTGAACTCTGAAATGTTAAAAATATTTCATATTAGTTTGCGACTTCATTTACATTATTATATACCTTGTGTTTTAATATTTTTTTAATTCTTATTTGTATTACTTTATTTTCGAAATATTTTACAAAAACTAAATTACAATTAGGAGAAAACGAATAAAACATTATTATATGATAGTAAGCACATGCATTGCGCATGCGTTTAATATGTCTATCACTACACTTGGGCTGTATGACGTTTTTGTATATTGATATACATATATACTTTTGATAACACGAGTAATATAATTTATTACATGATTATTATATGATTTGTAATAGTTACGACATTATTTGATATCTCAGATAATAAAAATACATATATTTATTTTAAATGAATAAAAAATTAAATTTTAATATTTAATCATTTTAATTAGATATAATATGTTGTTAGAAATTAAAAATTTTTATTTCAGTTTTTATTTCTCTTGTTTTCAAAAATTATCATTGATATAATTAAATTGATGCTATTATAATTTAAATCACAAATGTAAAATAAAATAAAAAATAAAATAAATTAAGCTTATAATAAAAAAAATATTGAAATAGAAGAAATTGATATATAATTAAATTATCTTTCACAATGTAGATATAATGTTTCTAATATATAATAATCTAATATTTATAGTATTTTTCAAATCTTTATTATAATTTTCTATATTTTTACTTTTCAAATAAATAATTCTATTTCCAAGACTTTAAATTTCAAATAGAGTTATTCTCTATCTTCATTGTTCTTTTACATTCTTTCTTGTAATATACAAATCTGCATTTTAAACTGTTTCATAACGACTTATGAAGTTACATTAGCGTCAGTTGCTATCTCAGTCAAGATTCAGTATCAGGTCGAAATTGATATCAAAAAAGATGGGAGACAAAGAAGCTCAAAATTATTTCGCCTTGTTACGACCGGTTTGGTTTTTGCCTGCCCCCAGAAAACAACAAACTAGAACGATAATTCAGCTACAGATGCTTGAGACTTTATGAAATTTAATATTAAGAGTTAGAATAACTACGTTTGTTTTTCAATTGAGTTGTTTTTAATTAATTTATAACATTACAGGAACATTATAGGAAAGTATTATTAATATAAAATTATTTATAGAATTATGCCTATATTTATATAATTTTTTATCATTTATCAAGATTGAAATTTCTTTTATTTTTTTTTTTTACAAAATCACGTAAATTTAAAAAAATAAAAATTTCTTTTTTGAAAAGTATTTTTATTCCTAAAATATATTTCAAAATTAAATTATCGTTAAAATTGCTTTCAATTATAGAATTTTTTATTTTTTACAGAAAGAATTAAATTATCAAATTATAAAAATTCGAAATTTTTTACATTTTTTTTTTTTT